AGCTGATCAAGCGGCGGCAGCAGCAGCAGCAGCAGCAGCAACAGCAGCAGGAGTTCCAAGAGCTGTTCCGGCAGATGAGCCAAGGGGAGGCAGGACAGGTGGTCCCCGGCATGGCCCAGAAACTCTCCGACCGACCTCCCCTCTCTTTGCCTTACCAAAACACTGACCCTTACCACCCCCACCCCAGCCCCCAGCACCTCTTAAAAGTGAGGGGACAGGAGTGTATCTCGCAGGTCCCGGTCTCGGTGCCAGCTCGCGGATACGCCCCGCCTCCGGCCCTGCTCCACTCGGAGAGCATGGAGGAGGAAGCGGACTGTCTGTGCGAGGGGGCCAGGGACCCTTTCCCAGGCAACAAGACCAAAGGTTGCCCCGAGACGCGGCTCCTCTTAAGCATAGGCGGGCCTGGGGACTCGGACCCTTTGTTTGGGCCTGCAAAAGGGGAGCCAGAGCTGGGAGCGCACCTGTACCGGCCCCAGACCGTTTCCCCCTTCAGCCGGAGCGAAGCACCCTGTCAAGGTAAGGCCCGGCTCCCGTCCCTGAGGGGCCGGCGAGGGCGCCTTCACGGGCGTCGCTGGTGGGACCGAAGGCAGCTGAGGGAGGGAAGGTGGCACCCTCAGCCACTTGTGGGCGGGGGGGGTGTTTCTGTGGCGCCTGTTGTGATTCAGGAGGAGGGCAGCCCGTCTTTTGGCACTGCATCCCTGGTGCTGCGAGGAGCCAGGGAGCAGCAGTGGGCAGAGTGGCTGTCCCGGCTCAACTGCTGGGAAGAACCGGAGGGAGGGGGCCCGGTGACCAGACCCAAGCTTTTGGCAAGGTGTTCTCTCAAGCATGGATGCCCAGCTGTTCATTCCCGGATGGGGAGTGATTTGGGATGCAGGGAAGCGGATCTGACCTCAGCAGCCGACTGGCCCCCCAGGGGAATGAGAAGTGACAGAGCCCAGGCTGCAGCCAGGAAAGGTTCTCCCTGAGGGCTGAGCCCTGTCGAGGTGCCGTTCTGTGCCACTGCCTCAGCCACGTAGGAAACCTTCCATGACATTCAGCTGCTCTCCCTGTGGCCACTCCTGCTTTGGATCCTTCACCCACAGAGAGGCCATTTTTCACACAGCTTCTCAATCCTGGCCAGCAGCCGGGGTTCTTCAGCCATATCCTGGGCAGTGTAGTTTGCCCAGAGCCAAAAGAAAGATCCCTGAGCAGTGAGCAAGGAAGCGGAGATGCTGGGTGAGTTGCAGGAAGCCCTGCTGTGGAGGCCTGAGGGCCCCGCGCACACCGAGGCTGCTCTTTGCCTGCCCTTGCCGGAGCCACAGCTCCACCCTGGCCCCAATGGAAAGCAGACCTGCCTCCTCGCTGCAGCAGGTTGGGGAGCCCCTGGCCTCCCCCTCGCCCTCCCCCTCAGGTTGGGGTTACTTGCTCGTGCTGGTTGCCACAGGGAGCAGAGAAGGCTGCGGGGAGGCCTGGCCTGGGCAGTGCCAGCGAGGCCCTTCTCAGTGGCCTTTTTGTCCGCCCTCGTGTTCTCCTTAGCCTGCTGCCTAGAGCGGGTTTTGTTGTTGCTCGTCTGCTCTTCACACCCCTCAGGAAACTGGCTCAGATGCTAGGAAGGAAAGTAGGGAGGACTGCAGGGGGGAGGGGGGTTGCCTCCTGAAGGAACGGGGAGCAGCCCTTGGTGTCTCTTGTGCAGAGAGTATAATCTCCTGGCCTGACCTGGGTCTGCCGTGGCAGATGGGAGCCACAGCCCACTCCTGAGTCCTTTGGCTCAAGTGATTTCACAGCGTCGCGCACCTCTGTGTCATTGTGAGGCTACAGAACCACAGACGTGGCATGCCCAGCTGGCGCTACGCGTGAATGGCCGGCTTTTCCTCCTTGACGATGCAGAAGGGCCGCGGCCAGTGCCCGGCTGGATCGGGAGGTGGTCTTTCCTGAACCCCTGGGGAGCTGTGGCTGCTAGCTGACTTAGACAGGGCTGGGCTTGAAGGGCTAGAGGTCAGGCTGGCCGAAAGACTTCCCAGGGTCCTAACCCTCTTTTGCCCTCCCACCTTGTCCACCAAGATCACATGGTCACTGCTGGCCTGGAAAGGAACTCGCCTGGGCACATGGAGATGGCAGATGTGGACGGGCTCGCGGCATATCCGGCGAGAATGATTTCTGGCGCACATCCCAGATCCCGGCCCCTGCAGAGACACCACACCATCCAGAACAGCGACGATGCCTATGTGCGTTGGGTCCCGGGCGGAGGGAGGGTCTGGCCCTGTTTCCCTTCCGGGGCTGAGGAGACCTCTGACCGGGGCAGATGCCCGAGCCCCCTCTCCTTGGGAGCACATGGGGGGATTCTTCCCTCTCTTTTTCTTGTCACTGCAGGTGCAACTGGACCCTTTGCTGGGCATGAGCCTCATGGCAGGGAAAGCACTTAGTTCTGCCCGCATGGCTGATGCTGTTCTTAGCCAGACCTCCCTCATGGGCAGCCATCCGCTCCCCGAGGGAGAGAGAAGGGGTGAGTGCCAGGCATACAACGTTGTGCGAACATTAAGCCCAGAGCTGCCTGGGAGGGGTGGGGCCTTGTCCTGTGTATGGGTCCAGGAGGGTGGCACTCTTTTGGCCTTGTCAGATGCCCTGGCTGGCAGGTGGGCAGGCCTCTCCCTGCATTGCTGCGTCGGAGGGTGGGTCTGACCAAAGCAACCCTCCCCTCTTTTCCTTTGGCACTGCAGATGGTGGGGAACGTCTGGAAGGGCAGGAGCAGCCCAACTTGGGTGATGGCAACCAGCATCTCAATGCCCCTTGTTACCCCTCCATGTGTGTGACAGACGTCCTGCTGAGTTACAGGCACCCAGAGCTTCCCTTTGGGGTGGAACAAGCAGGGGTCTAGCAAGCAGATGGCAGCCGTGAGTCTGTGTCCCGTGCCGGAGGGGGATGTGGGCCGCGCTCAGCAAAAGAGTGCCTTGCCTGGCCTAAACTCCCGTAGAAGCAGAGCCCCTCTTTGAGGAGGGGTGGGCCTGGCTGGTCCTTCCTGGGAGCAAAGGAAGCAGCACCCTGGAGGAGGATCATATGGGCTGGGGGCAAAGTGCATGTGTGAATCAGTGCTTGGGGCATCACAAGCCCTGCTGGCTGCTTCCTGACTCAGCAGTCAGAAAACTAAGGGGTGGCTGGAGGAGCCAGACGCCAAGTGCCTTGCAGGGGATGGGGTGGG